ACCTCCACATCAACAGCTTTTCCAAGGGTTAAGAAACACTGGTCTGGCTGGGGAATTCTGGGAGTTGAAGTCCACACCTCTTAAAGTTGCCAAGGTTAAGAAACACTGGTCTGGCTGGGGAATTCTGGGAGTTGAAGTCCACACCTCTTAAAGTTGCCAAGGTTAAGAAACACTGGTCTGGTGTGTGTAATATGAACCCAGACTAGAAATAGACCACTAACAAGGGTAGTACAAAAACATTCCCTGCCTTGCGTATGATACCTGCTCAGTTGTCCATGCAAAGTGAGGTTGGCTTTTGGCATTATAATTAATAATGATATAATTCATACATAAATAGCAAAGATCAATGGTGCCTCGGTACAGGGCCCTCCAGGAGCACAGAAGTTGCTTGACTTATTTATTCTCCTCTTGAGCACATGCCCAAGCTTTCCTGAACATTTACAACGTAGTGCCAAATTTTATTCACGCTTGACTTTTCCCGAGTAGGAAAAAAAAATAAAAATAAAAAGCAGTACGTTATGGCTTGTAAGGAGCAATACAGTCGCTTAGCACCACTTCGGGTCTCTCGTGGTGTGACTAAATACAGACAGCCTTCGAGTAGCCGAGAGAGAAAACCGAGTTGTTCTGCTTAGGAAAATTCTGTCTTGGCACCCACTTATAAACAAGTCCTATATATCTGCAGCGGGTCTCCCCAGTCTGTTGCTTTAAAATACTGGATTTCAACTCGCTGAGTTGGTGAGCAGCCCTACCTGTTCCTGTGAATCCTGTATGTGGTGGATGAACACATCTGGGCACCCCAGATGGGAAGGCTGGTTGACAGAAACATGTGGATGAGTTACACTGAATGGTGCCATGCCATATTTAAATGTCTTCATCCTGAAATATCTCTGAAAGCCTTGGATGTAATGCTGGGAGCTCCAAAACCTGTTTGTCAAATTTAATGTGTCAGAAACAGAAAATGTCAATGTATGACTGAGGATTATCATATTAACTATATTTAATTTTAATCACATGTAACTGAAATCATTTTTTTTTTTTTTTGGTTGGTCCACACACCACTCAAAGGCTGCGTGTTTAGTCCTGGGTTGTACGAAGCTACCATAAGAGAGGTGCAGATATTTTGTCCTAAGCAGAGATTCACAGTATAGATGCCTTCACCTTTTACATGAAATGGAATGTGGACCCTCACATTTAGAAATAAGGTTCATAATTTATCCAAATTTTATTCTGAACTGTTTGGAACTCTATTTGTTGCAGGAAATTACCTTCTGACTCAGTTAAATTGTAATCCTGAAAGCCTATTTTGAGTATTTCTTGCAAGTTAGAAAAAAAAAACTTTAGGAATTAAGAAAGATTCTTTATGCCTTATCAGTCATTTGAAAAGAAGCTAATGCACGAACACCAAGCTACCACATCTGAACTTCAAAACACTGGACAATCTCTCAAGGGGAGCACAGAGACAGAAAGAACTCTTTGCTGGCATCTAGTGGCCATCTGGCGTTTTGCAGCCCAGACGTAATAGCTTTAATCCACCTAATTCTTAGGGGATCAAGCTGACAACCTTCTGTGTTTGAGGGGAAATATTCCTTTGTTTGAATATTCAGTAATGTTTTAAAGGTATGAAATGATGAGTTAGAGATTAATTTGAATTTGCACTGTAGTTCTGTATTTACCTAGAATGGGATCCAGAAATCCTCAAAAACCTGGCTGTTCTCCCACGCCTTGGAACAGAGTCTCTCTGGAGCCCTGGTTGGTTGTCTGATATGTTGTTTTCCAAATTCATAGGCTCTTTTTATTCTTTTACAATATTTATTTTTAACTGTAAGCTGCCCAGAGTTGTTTGGAGTCGGGTGGACTCCAAATCTAATATATAAATAAGTAAATAAATCCCACTGGCTGTATCCACGTACCATGCTAAGACAAAATACGATTTGCTGCTCATTTGGCTTAGCATGCTGTATGAATCCAACTAACTGTTATTTACTGAATAATCCAGGGTTAAACAAACCACACATTTACTGCAATGTATAAACCAGCCCATCTGGATGCAATGAGGTTTTATTCAAGTAGACATAGATAGGATTAGTTTGTACATGTTAAATCTTAGACACTTCTTTTTTGCTGCATTTCCTCCATATTAACCCCAGAATTCAGAAGAGCCCGTCCTTATCTCTGTTAACTAGACCAGATTTTTGCTCTTTTCATTAATATTTATTCTCCTGAAGTAGAACAGGAGTTGCTTAGCTACTGCTAAGCTGTAAAATGCTAGATTACTATTTTCATCTTCTGCTTAAAACTATCCTCCCTCTGTAACATCCCTATACAGCAACTGAAATTTTAATGATTATTATGTTGTAATTTAGTTCATTGTTATTTTATGGTTTGTACCAATTCAGCATGGGGATTTACGGGTTTATTAAACACTTAGAAAATTAAAAGAGGAAACGGCATGGGTGGGAATCATTACGATAGAAGTTCAGATGCTGCCTATACTACATTAGGCCCCCCAAAATGCGAAGCGACTGATGAATTGAGTTCCCATTAATGCTCACTGTTGCTAAATTCACACACCATTGCTAAATTCACACACAATTCACACCATTAATCTTCACTGTTGCTAAATTCACACACACACACAGAGTTTGGGGTGAATGTGTTATGAACCCAGCAACTGTGGTTTATTCAACAAACAATCATGAAATAAGTTCATTATAGTATGTAGCACTAATATATTCAAAGAAATTGTATACAGTGGTACCTCAGGATACGAACTTAATCCGTTCCGTGACTCTGGGCGTATCCCGAGTTGGTCGTAACCCGACGCAAATTT